AAAGACTTATCTGTTGACACCCACCCCTTGGCGCTCATATGACCTTATGCATTTGCAAGCACCGTAAAACCCTCTACTAAAAAAAAAAAAGCTTTGTAAGAGACTTGAAATCCATAGATATGTACTTTAAGGTCTCTGAACTGTTTGCGAAAGATAGCTTGCAGTTACGTATTAAAGTTGAGACTGACTTCTACAAGAAAGAGAAAGATGCAGCAACAAAGGCGCACTTTCTAGACCTGAAGAGGTGAGGTATGAGATGGCTTTGTACAGTGTAGTATACAGATCCTGCCCTTTTATTCCAAGCGAATGACATTTTTTGACATATACTAGTTTGGTTAGACACAACTATATCAGGGGGCTACAAGTACATTGGATGAATGCAGCTGTAGTGATATAATATTGCCCTTTCTAATTTGAACTGCAGTATCCTGTAATGAAGTGATACTTTTACATCCTTACACTTTCTTGAAATCAAACGCATTGACCACGTCTCTCTTTTGGAAGGGTACTTGGGCAGTCTACTTGTTCCTCTATGTCTACTGCTCAAGCAAAACTCATCATGTATACTGCTTTAAGATCGTCTGTCAAGGTGCAAAGGCCTTACAAAAAAAAATATGCTTCTCACTTACAGACGAATTTATGCTGTGACAAAGTAGTATATTTTGATCAGGTACATACTATTATTATGGTTAAAAAGTTCCGTCCTGAAGTGTTAATGGCTTTGATAGTCCAAAACAGATATTTGTTTTGTTTGCTTTGAGTGACCCACTCTTATCTTCTCTGGATAGACTTCCATAAGTGTTTTAACACCTGATGAAACTGGTATTCTGATGTATAATTTTAGTTTTAGTATGTATTCACTGGTATAGAGGTATAAGTATTTGAGATGTATAATTCAAACGCTTTCATTTTGTGTTTCAGTTCGCATGATCAGAAGTAAGCACAGCTACTTTGCTGACCGTCTCTATCACTCAATGAAGGTAAAGTTTTGGTACTCATCTGTTTTCACAGCACTGAAAGGTTATTTTGATAATTTTTTTCCTCTTGATTTGGTTCTCTCGTGTTTTATACATGTAGGATTTTATTTTTCGTGAATGTCAAAGGTAGTTTACAAGTGTTTTGGTATAATCTGCTTCTTCTACACCTTCTAAGTGTTACTGCTATTCTCACTGTCCTTTACTGGTGAATTTCAGTACAAATCTTTTGTTTTTTTAGAGGTCCCAGCAAGTGTTTCTTAGACAGTTGATAAGCTGCTCTCTTATTTTGTCTTTTTTGTGTGGTTTTGATTGTTTGTTTTCCAGTTGAATCTTTGTTATGTCAGTTGACATATCTAATCAAAGATATGTTTTTTTCTTTACATGGGTTTACTCACTTCTTTGCTCTATACATATATGTGAGCAAATTGCTAAATTGATAGCAACAACATATGTGAGCAACAACTCACTAAATGTGCTTGTTCCCCTCCATACAGGGTCTGGGTACAGATGACCGTACTTTGATTCGAGTGATCGTGTCCCGCTGTGAGGTGGACATGAAGCAGATCAAGGCCGAGTTCCAGAAACGTTACGGGCAAGGTCTGGAGGCGTTTGTCAGGGTGAGTTGTCTGAGTTTGTTTGTCTTTATGAGAATGCATCGGCACAGCCATGATAATGAGATTAAGACATAGTGTGGGTTTAGTACTTGCTTCAACTCATGTTATGTAAGGGAAGGGATGTCCGGTTTCATGTCTGTATCTGGTAAACTAAATTGAGCAATGAACAAGGAAAACTCTTTGAACTATCATAAATTCAAGAATACCTGTGGAAATGTGAACCACAGCCACCTGCAAAGCATGATACTGGCTGTGCTAACAGCTTATCCTGAAACAGTAAGCTGGGAAAAGTGAGTGCACATTTAGACAGGCTATGGTCTTGGTCTTCAAAACTTATTTGAAGATTGGTTGGATATTCATCAGCATAGTAAAGAAACATGAGACTTCCACATGGTTATCTGTATTTAAGGTATCACGATTCTGATGATTTGAATGAATACCACCCTGACAACAACTTTGATTATGTCCTTCATGCACTCTTTCTAGTAGATATAGAGAGAGAATTGTTACCAACCTAAGAAGCTAACTTTGCCTTGTAAAGCTCTCTTGCCAAATCCTTTTTGCTGATTGTCCTGTTATATTTACATGGACGAATATAATTTGCATACTAAGAGGGACATGCTGAAAAACTTTGGGTTTGAGGTACTGATAAGTGTTGATAAGGGCCAAATAGAAATATTGTGAGTAAGTGTTCATGTAAAAAACAAATAAATATGATTATTTCATTGATGTTTGACACTTTTTAATTTCCTTTGTACATGTTCTTCTCAGCAGTCGATTTTTTTTCAGTATTGTCTGACATCTCCATTTGCCTGCTTTTTCTTTCAGGATGATGTGTCTGGTGATTACCGGAAGTTGATGCTGGCTTTGATATCCGGCTACTGAGGAGCAGTCTCTCACTCATCACTCTGAACAAACTAGCTCTGCGTTTTGCAAACACTCATGTGTGCGTAGGCAGTACTGGGTGATGGTTTCATATCACAGTATGGTGGTTATTATGGCAGAGATTCTGAGCATGACTTGACACATCTGGCTGTTTAGAGGAGCATGTGATCTGTTTGGTTTTAGGATTGATGGGTCACATTAGAGGTACATGTACACATCATAATGTCATTATTTGTTTTGTTGGGTTTTTTTCTTTCATGTTAAGATTGATTATTAAAAAAAAACAATCTGTGACTGAACAATGTGATGTTATTAGTAACTATACTGTGGGGGAAAAAAGGGGGGGGTTTATGTTTTCAATGTGGAGTCATTCTTTATTCAAGAACATTTTGATGAATTGTAATGCTGAATTCCTTGTTGTTGGTGGAATAGAGTTATTGTACCAGACACAGAAGTAGAAAAATGTCCTGAGGGCATGATGGCAGCCTTTATGTAAAATGAAATAACTGTTGAAAGCTAGTAGCGTGCAACTTGGTTGTGCTTTCGAGCAATGCAGAAATATTTAGACAGTTTCTCTGATTATTCCGTGCACTGTTTTTTTGTTCCACTATCTGGTGAGCAGCACTAAGCGCCCATAGGGTTAGGTGTTTGAAGTCATGACACAGTATCGCCTTTTGTTTATGTTGTAGTTTTGCATCACATTTAACTATTTTAGCCTGTGGTTGTTGTTATCTGCCTCTGCTTGCTCACACACAGTTTTTATCAATAAACTACTCTTATGTTGTGTACATAATCATGTTTCCTTAATGCTTTGATTGTTTTTCTATTGTTTTGGAACCCTAAGTTTGTCTTCCACGTTACTATTGTGTTGCCTGTAAATCTCACTCGTCTCGGTTTAGACCTGGATATCTATTTTGTGATTCTTTTTTTTTCTTTTAAACAAAAGTAACAATTTGTTGTAGTTATACTTTTTCTAAGCAATTTTTCTCTTATAAGCTTTATGTTTTTATGGGTGATTTTTATGTTTGTGTGTGGAGTGTTAGGTTTACATTTTATCATGTGATCACATATTATGTATCAGCAAAATAACCAGTCTTGTACGATGAGATTTTCTCGAAATTCTTGTGTGTATCATGTCATTAAATTTTCCTTCCCTTTCATGTCCTGCTTTGTATGTACTATCAAAATCAGAATAGTTATTTTTTATCATAATTTTCAAGTTATAGTCACAGACAGAAGGCCACAGTTAATGCAGTGAAATCAAACAAAACTCGGGTGTAGTTAAAATAGATGTATTTTAGTTTCATGAACTGTGAAATATGGCCAGGGTAAGAAAATGTTTTTATCTGTTCCAGATATTTTGTTTTTGAGCTACAATTCTCTAATGTTTCTACTGGACTGATTTCTCAAAAGCACCTGATTCCCAATTGTTGACCTTTATTTCATTTTCTTTTGTGTGTTTGTGTGTGTGTGTATTAAAAGTTTAAAGTGTTTGGAAATTGTGGTTTTGATATCTTATCTTCCTGTGAAACTTTCTCGTGTAATGTTATGGACTGAAGAGATTGCCTGTGCTGCTGTAGTGTTTGTAACGCCTCTGGTATTGCTCTCAAGTCTTTCCCTTCTCTATCGATGTCAGTTTATTCAAGTGTTTCTTCACATGTGAATCTTGGACTCTTTTAGAATGTTGTAGAACATCACTACAACTGGTAGTTAGTTTGTTGTTGGAAGCACCCTCTGACTAGTACAGTGTACTACTTTTTCCCTGTTACTTGCCCTCCAATAAAAATGAGAACCTGCCATCCTATTATGTATCCCGCTAGTCATAGAAATTGCTTTATCAGTTTATGAACTATCTGGAAAATGAAATATTGTTCCTTTTTGTTAACATAATGGACAAAGATTTTTCTGAATAGATTTCCTTTTTCTTTTTTCCTCATGGGTGGCCACATATCTGTACACATAAGATCATGGTTTTATGATTTCTTTTTGTTGTCATTCTAGAAATGTGTACTGACCTTGGTAATCATGTGAGAAATTTTGTACTTTGTTTACGCCCTCACATCATACTGTTGTCTGACTGGATTTTTCTTTCTGAATAAGATGAATAAGAAATTATCGCACAGCCAGTTGTATGCAAATATTGTTTTCTTACTTCTGTGATTGCCGAGGAGTTTAATCATCACAAGCTATGTCTTATTGCAATCTCAAGATAGTTAGGATTCCCCCATAAAAAATGTTGATACTTCATTGTAGCCTTCTTGTGTTGACCATCAGTTTTGTTTTATGTGAGAATGCTGATGTCTAAAGTATTTGTTGTCATAATATCTCACGCCTAGGCTGTGAGAGAGGTCTGGGGCTAACAAGCTGATAATGGCATTCTACCGTTCTGATATAGTGCATCTCTTTATTGAAAGCACTTAGTTGGATAAATCTAAGGCTTTAATTTTTGAATTACTGTGATACCAATCCAGTTCTGCCGCTTGTTATATGACATAACATAAGTTTTCATTGGAATTGTTCAGTCTCTGTTGACAAATTGATAGTTCCATGATGTGAGTCATGTTGTTTCAATATCTGCAACGTATTATGAGCTGTGAATTTTACTTCGAAAACAATTTTAAAATGTGGATTAGTGAACATGCAAAACCCCCCTCCAAAACAAGGACATCATAACAAGAATTACATTTGGTATTTGTGAGTGTGTGGGTATGTGTAGTTGTCTTTTTGTATGATTGAATGTGTACTCATTTGAGGTCAACAAGTGTGTATGTCTGTGTTTATGCTTGAAGGTGCAGAAATAATTATTATTAGATGTGCTTGTATATTTTTATTTTTATAGCAAATAATTTTGTACAATTTTATTGCTTTTATTATGCCTTAATACTCATCTGAAAAATTCAGTGATAGAGGCACTTGAACAGTTGATATGAAACTATTCAAATCTTTATTTAATTAAATTCGTTTGGCAGGTCTTAAGTGTATTCTGAGACTATTGAAATATTTGATCAGTTATTTTGCCTCTGAAGATATTTCTAAACTACAATTTTGAGTGTAAAGTGCTATGTAAGAGGAACGAAGCTCATCAGATCTACTACCAGCTAAAAAAAAAAAAAAAAATGTGCCAAAATTATTTTTTTCATACGCATTGTCTGTAATATATGAAATAGATTGTTTGCTGTAGTTCTGATGGTGTCTCCCGGCATGAAATATTGCTTTTCGATGGGTCCCTCATTGTTTCTTTTTCTTTCTACTTGTGTGTTGGTTTTCCGTTTTATGGTCTTGTTTTTGAGCTTGCATCTATGGGGGTTTCTCTTCTTGAGATTATGCTAAGCATTGTAAGTTTTTTACCTTGATAGAAATAAAAGAAACCAAATAAACTTTAGGCAATGCATATGACTAATAGTATAGGTTGTTAGGTATGTTTCACTTTCACTCTGTTTCTGTAATATATGTTATAGTTTCTTGAAGACCATTGAGTTTAGGATGGTTTGTTTTCCTGACTTGAGTAACAGTGACGGATGTTTGTGTCCATGGTGTTAAATTAAAAATGTGCTGTCTTATCAAGGCAGAGTAAGTTGCACCGAGCATACAAATGAGCATTGGCCACTCACAGGTAGATTCTTGTTAATAAACATTTCAGCATTAGTTTGTCTTCATCTTTCCTTTTGACTGCATGTGATGTGAAGGCTGACATGTTAACTGTGATCCATTATTTATATGAAACTTTGTCCAGTGGTACTGGCTTTGTTCTTACCTATGAAAAGGCCTACTTATTACATCGTGACACAACTAGGCAGCTTTTAAAGATTGTTTGGAATAAGTCTTTATTGAATTGTTACCTTAAAGTGAAACACGGCGTGGTGTGTCAGTTTTGTACTGGGGAGGTCGTGTGCAGACCAAAGAGGGGGAGCAAACCTTATCATGTTGAAACCATCACCCTTCAAAAAGTGCTAATTGTTCAGTGTAGGTCTATGTCTAGATAGGATGGTCTAAAGAAATAATATTCACCTTCAACAAAGCCCTGAGCTCACACAGTTATTAATTTTGGGAGATTGAGGTTCGCCTCTCAATTTTTTTTCCATACAATATAGGAAATCTTTATTTTGTGTTACTTGATTGTTTGCCCCAAACTTCTTACTCTCTAAGAAGTGAAATTTTTGTCCACGTTTGAAGGATTTGATGAGAAAGATAGGGTTTTTTTGTCTGTTTTTTGTTGGTTTTTGAGTAAGCATGTCCGGGCAGATGATTTTCCTTTGGTCTTTTATTTTTTTAATTAGAATAAATGGAACAAGTTGAATATATGAATTATCTAGTTTCCCTACACCTTCTAATACAAATGTATTTTTTCTTGATTGATATTTTACTGATATAATACCCCTTTTTGATTGCTTCAGTGTTGCTTGTATTAAAATTAATGCATGATAAAATCGATCATACACGGTATTAGCTCCTTTAAATGTTTATCTCCTTTATTGTCAAATAATATCCGGGAAATTTGCAGGCCAATCAAGATTTCCATTAATTGTTATCTCTCATAGAGATATGAATAAATGGTATTGCCATCTTTTTGTACTCCTGATCTGTATTGCTTTCCAATTGGATCTTGGTATCAACAAGGACTCCAGGGCTACCCTTTCTTCTGACTACTTTCAAGATTTTCTAGGATTGCTTGCCTCGTTTTTTGAGTGTGGTAGCAGAAGTATGTGTGTATTAATCATTTCTGTGGTGTGAATTACCTGCAAATTATTTGACATTTAATCTTTTGTTTTTCATGTAAAGTAAATTTGATATCTTGATATTTAAGAAATAAAATTATTATCCTCAGCAAAATTGTTCCTATTTTTTAGATGCCTGACAATTTCCGTGGTTTGCATAAAAGATTGTTTTTGTAATCCAAGCAGAGTGGTCATTCTGCTTTACATTTACATGGACAAAGAAGTCATTTGGGCTTCTTTGTATTTGTGTGGACTGGCAGCTCTGGGCGTTATTATAAAGATTCTGCTTCAACTTTGTCTTTTCTCTTTTAAAAAAAACTGGGTTTAGTAGTTTCAGACCAAAAAATGGCTAATGTGAGAAAAAAATGAACTTAACCGAAGATCAACTCAGGCGAGTTCAATACAAGCGGAGTCAACTACGAGTTGTAAGGAACAGAATTTCAGGTCTCTTTCTGACTCGAACCTTATAACCTATTGTGCTGTAGTGACTTTCAAATAAGATGAGGTTCAGAAAAAAGTGGTTGAGTTAGCTGTTTATCTGCTGAAACCAAGAATTGAGAGCTTTATGGTTTTTAATATATATTTTTTTCCCTCTAATAGAATTTCTCTATTGCTATTTTGTATATTCACTCAAATTCTCTGCTTCACAGATTCTTTTCTTTTGAAAAAACTTTTAAGAACAGATGTTATTTGGCGTCTGTGGTGTAACTGTTGGCTTTTCATTACCATGCATGTTAAGAGATGCCAGTTCAATTCCTTATTGGGTGTTTTGTCATACATTGCTGCCTTTCTGTGGGTTGCCACATGGCTAGGGTCAGCCTTAACAGATTGGGACAAAGTAGCGAGGCCCCCCTGAACATTGTCTCTTTCTCTCAGTGCATCCAATAAGTTTGTGCCAAAATGTAGAAAATGAACTACATACAGTAGTGTATTTATATGAGCTTCTGTGTCCAGCCCTGATCAACTCACGCTTACTATGCTGTCAACGTCATACAAAATTAAGAGGGTAGAAGATTTTGTGAATGTATGATATTATTGATTGTATTTTCAATTTGATTCCTCTTACCCCCAAGCCCCTCTCTGTCTGTCTGTCTGTCTGTCTCTCTCGCTCTCACACACTCACTCTCTCACTCTCTCTCTCTCTCTCTCTCTCTCACACACACACACACACACACACACACACACACACACACACACTCGCACACACTCACTCGCTTGCTCACTCATTGTGTGCGTGTCTTTATGTATATGTGTGTATGTGTATGTGTGACTGCTGTCTGTCTCTTATGTATTTCAGTCTCTTTTGGTCTCTCTGAATCTTCCTCACCCAAACCATGCCCCCCCG